GCCGCGGTTCTCGTTCTCTCCGGCTTCTCTCCGTTCCCTGTTTAACAGAGGAGTTTCGACCGACCTCGGGGTTTACACGGGGTCCCACCTGTTGTACGTTACGCCGATTCCGACCGGGGTGAAAAGTCGTTTCGGACGTTGATCTGTTGACAAGATCGGGAAGATTGGACAGGAAGAGAGGTTGCACTGGGTGACCCGGTAATGGGAGCAGGAAGAGGGTTTCAGATATACTGTGTACTTGCTACCGGTGTTAAATAAATAGAATATGAATATATCTTCCTTTTTTATTATTATTGGATTGGACTTATACGTTGCATAGTTTTCGTCTTCTATCCGCAAAAAGTTTGAAAATTATAGGGTTTTTTATTTTTTTTAATGTGTAATAGATAACGTGTATTTTATTATTTTATTTCAGGACTACGAGAACGATGAAATTTTTTTTTTTTTCATTGTAAGTACGGAATAATTTGAAAGTAAAAAAAGAAGGTAATTTAAAAGTATAATCTAATCGTTGTCAGAATTGCTTAAGATTAAGTTCTATCGAAGTTTTTTTTTTTTCTTTTTTGAATTTTGATCGAAATATAACGTGTATTCTTCTTGTATTATTTCTTTAAGAATTTTAATTCTATAATTATTTTCCAAATGTTCATTAATCTGAAAAGTAAGTAGACTAATTTTTTATAGTAATATTGCATTGTGCATCTTACTATACATTGTGTATATATATATATATTGAAAATATATTGTGATGTTTTCTGTGATTTTTTGTGTTTTTTACTATTCATTATTTGAAACATTACAAACATTATTATCATTTGTAATTTGTGTAAATTTCGTTCATTAAGATGATAATATAGTGTAATACATATTTATCATTTCAATGATTTTTAAAATATTTCGTTTAATTTAACGTTATTTCTTTTTTTTTTTTTTTCACAAAGATTATGAATCATCCTGTTTCACTTGACAACAAGTTGGAAACAAGTGGTCGCTAAAAATATCGTCATATGCGAATCGTAAGTCACATGATATTTTGACTAATAATAGAAAATATTATCAGTTACACAGACTAATAAAAAAAAAAAGTTGCAATTTTTTTGATAGCACAGGACAAAAAAACATTTTACGAATTTTTTGTTCTTAGTAATTTAAAGTGTTTTTATCACTATCAAATATGCATGAATGTTAAATAGATTTTTTAAAATATTTTTTTTCTGTATAGTTTACTTTTGTATTTATTGTATTGATAAACGCCATTAATATTACTTTTCGCTTCTTATCATTGATGTTATCTTCATTACATTCATTCGATATTATTATACTATTTTTAAATTGAAATGTATGATTAATGCGTATATACTCGATGGACTTTAAAGTTAATTTTTTCTTTTTCTTTTTTTCTTTTTTTTTTCTTTTTTTACCAAAGACAATATGCAAATTCTATCTTCCAACAAGGACATGGAACGAACTTTGTTTTTCTAATCATAATTTCAAACCAGAACGATATAACTATAAAACGATATTTCATAATAAAAGGAAAAAAATTGTAAAAATGTTTCAAAAATCTTGATCCGATAATTATTTATATAATATAAATTTTAATAAAATAAGAATAGATTAATAAATAATGTTTTATTTATATTTTATAAAACAACTTATTGAATTGCATTTCTTTGATACGAATGAAACAATTTTCAGTCTTTTACTTTACATTTTCAATTTATTTTTATACAAAGAATCTTTCTTTTTTCTTTTTTTTTTTTTTTTAATTATATCGTTTGAGATAAATTTTGAGAAAGGTTTTTAAAGATATATAAGAATGGTCAGATGAAATATTATAGGTAAATAATTTAATAGAAAATTCTAAAGATTAACAAATACAAAAGGTATGTAAAATGCCTGTTAAAGCTTATTTTTCAAGTAATAAGCAATTTAATTTTGCATCAGATAAAGCAAAGCAAAAAGAGAAGCAGATACTCATTCTACCGCCATATTCAACATACGAGAATTTCTTATTGCATTACTATAATCTTCTATGCTGTTTATACAAGGTTTTATTATTCGTTGTACAATCAAGGAGGGATGATTCTTCATAAAAAAAAATAAGTCGAAAATTAAATTTTCTCATGAAGTTTTGTTTTATTTTCACTTCATCTACAACAAAATTAAATTATTTATAAAAAGAAACAAATAATAATCGAAAAATAAATTACGAAGAACATTATTGTACATCAACTTTCATTTATTTTATTTTATAACTGAATATCATCTCTTAAATCTTCTTACTTCGTCAATAATTATCCACAATCTATTCTTATTAAAACTTATTAGAATAACGATAAAATTTTTACACTGATACTAATATAAAATTTTTAATATAAAATCTTTTTCAATCAATTCTTTTTCATATTCTTTGTTCACTCATCTTAATTACACTTAAATAATAAAATAAGTGTAACTGTTTTTCTGATAAATAAAAGAAAATAAATTTCTTAAAATCAATATACACATTCATGATGAATCGATTTTAATTGTTGAAAACATTTAATCGAGTGAAAAAAAAAAATATCACTACATTGCGAGTAATTATGAAATCACCTTCTTTTCGATAATACACGTTGCGATTTCTCGAGATTGGTACGTTACTTTTTTGGAATATTAGATAGTGAAGGAGAACGGTATTACGTAATGAACGACAGTTTGTTATTAGGCGAACAATGAGCCGGGTATGCAGTTCCAGCTGCTTCCGGTTGAAAACTTTTTCTCGTGACCATCCTCGCGCGACCAGCCAGCATAGAAAGTGCATTTTAATCGTACGAGGAGAACGTATGCGATACGAAACGAGACCAGACCGATATTCTTCTCTCTTTCTCCCTCTCCATCGGTGGAACAGGGTTGGAGGGAAACGACGACACTCGACCAGGCCTCATTAACGAGGGATTTTAATTTAATTTCATTCGTCGTTTGATTCTGTAACGGTCGCGAGAAACGAATAAGAGAGAAAAAGAGAAAAAGAAAAAGAGAGAGGAGAGGGGGAGCATTGAATGGGGAACGAGTGGGATAATAAAAAGAACAGGAAGTATAATGATACGAGATTCCAACTGAAGATGAGAAATTATTAATCCACGAGGCACGATGCATATATAAGATGATACAGTTTATGATGTAATAAAATTTGGATATTTAAAATTAACGGAGTTTCTCGAAAATTGTAGGTCTTTGTAGATAAATTGAAAATATAAATAAATTTAACTTTCACATTATAAAAAAAAAAAATTTCTTCGACAATTTAAGTCCCCTTATTCTTTTTAATTCTACCTATATAAACACATTCTCCTATACTGTCTACAAAGAAAAACATTTAAAACTTATTTATGACAAAACGATATAAATTTTGATCTTATTTCTTAACGTAACTTTATAATACAGTTATAATAACATCGAGAAGTTATTGCTTCTCATATTTGTTATACTTTTGTTTAAAAACAATAAAAATGTTATTTTTATTTTTATTTTTTTTTTTTTTAGTATAAATAAAATAAGAGACATTAAAAACTATTAAAATCTAAAAATACACCAAGAGAAAAACCTTGTCTTGCCATATAAAACAATATATATTAACTTAATAAAAAAAAAAAAATTATCTTTTACCATAATATAATAACCATATGTTTTCTTCTCATAAATCTATTAAACGCATTATTAAAATACACCTTACCTTAAGCGTACAGTTGTTGTTGTGATTAACCGGTGGATAAGCTGGATGACTTGGTAAGTGGGGGTGAGGGTGGCCTGGGTGATGTGGATGATCGGTCATCATTCCAGCAGCGCCGTGATGATGTCCATTGCTGCCCATTCCCTGGCTAGGCTGAAGGGAGCCGTAAGGGGTAGCTGGGTCGATGGCGGGACCGTGAGGAGGCGAGTGAGGGCTT